CAAAAAAAAATAATTTTGATGTTCCGCCTAAAATATCAGTATTTTCCTCATTACAAAGCCAAATCTTATTATATCATGGAATGTTATATCTCGTTGAGTTCGTATTTAAATTCCCCGTCGAACTGTGTACCACACTCAAAAAGTGAATTTTTTCAGATTTTTCGTAAAATTTTATGATGTTACCCCTTTCCAAAAATGCGAAAGTCGCTCTGTCCCGATTTGTGCCCCAAAATATCAGTATTTTTCTCATTACACCGCCAAAGATGATCGTATCATGGAATGTTATATCTTGTTGAGCTTGTATTTTAATCTATTTTCAAAATATTCAACTGCCATTGAAATCTGAATAAAAAAATATTTTTTCGATTTTCCGAAACCCCCTGTACCCCTTACAAAAAATGCAAAATTTAAGAAAAAATAAATTTGTGATAATCAGCATCTCAATGTCACAGAAAGTTTGTACGGGTCGTTAGCTGCACAAAACAATCCCCTTTTTAGCTGTGCGTCTTATTTAGACAGAGTTATAAGCTAATACTGGTGAAAAATATCACGAATTCTACTCAAAAACATATTTTTGATTTTATGCTTATTTATCAGTATATTTCCCACAGCAACGTTAAAAATTGTCGGAATGCGGAGAGGAATACCTCGGTGAGCTCGTAATTTAATGAATATTAAAATTTTATTAATATCTAGAAAAGTACATTTTTGACCGATTTATTCAAAATTTTCATGTTGTAAATAAAAAAATGGGTCGAGTTTGATTTTTACTCGCAAAAATCACTATTTTGTAAATAACAAAGGCAAAAATGAGCGGAATACAGATTGTTATACCTTGTTAATCTCGTATAGAATAATATAATAAACAGAAAAACTCAATATTTTTCTTGAAGTGCACCCATTTCTTCCTATCACCCCCTTCCCGGACAGCTTAGTCACTCGGGCAGCCCGTGGCCAGTTGGCAGCGAAGAGCCACTTGGTCTGGCGGCAATAGAAAAGTATCTAACAGATACAGTTTGTGGGGCGCAAAGAGGGTTAGCGGGATGAGGAGCGGGAAAGTGTGTCAATGCGCAAACGTCAGAGCAGCTGATCGGAGAGCGAAAACGTTAGTAATATACTATAGTTTATTCCATATATATATGGAGAGAGAGCGACGATCTCTCGCGATCGCTTTGTTGGTAAACAAAAATCACGAACAACACGTATGATCGAGACTCTCTTTTTTAGCGCTGCCCAGCTGGTCGGAGCATAATTTTGGCGCTGGCTTTTGTTGATGGCAGCGATCGTGGCTTTTTGCGTTTTAAAAAAATACATAATTATGGGCTTAGATACGCTCGCGAGTGCTGTTGTATTCCGCTCTCTATCGTTACGCTCTCTCTCGCTCTCTTTCGAAGAAAAACCAAAACCCAGATACTGAGATACTTTTCCAGCGTTTACAACGATCGCTGCTTGTCATTCGCCTTTGATATTTGAAAGCAGAAGCAACAGCAGCAGCACCGCAACTCGAGTGCAGCAGAAGAAAAGTGAAAATCCCTGAAGAGATTAGGTAAATAATCAGGAGAAGTGTGAACATACCCAAAAAGAAAAAATAATAGAGTAAAAACTGCAGCTAAATCTACACATACTCGCGAAAAGATACAGGTACGCACACACTCGGTATTGAGATACACAGGTACTCGCAGTTACAGATACAATGGCAAACACTATAGCTTTTGTTCTTGCGTCCGCTTTTGAAATTCAAATGCGCTTCCGTCGATTCAGTTGGCATTCGAGTGTCGACTAGGCTGTACCGTCTGCAGTGGCATCCGCATTCATATCCATAGTTACCCATTTTTGTGGCCTGAATTTTACGTGATTTTTAGTGAATTTTACGTGTGTGTTTTCCTTGTGCAATTTTCCACATCCATAAGGTGAGCATCAGCCATCGATAGATGAGAATATACATCTTGTATACAGATTTTCAAATGTGCTGCCAATTAGTGCCTATAATTGGCAGAATTCAGGCAATGCCAAGGTCGCCACTGACGTCATTTGGCCAGCTTGCATAATTCCGCATTATGCCATAAAGAGAAAAATTCTATACCCCACTTAGCACGAAAAAAAACGTATAACAAAAAAGTAACAAACAAAAAACACGAAATTCCTTAGGAACAAAGGAACTTTTGCACTTTGACTGGGCTGAGAGCTTAAAGCTAATCAGATACGATTTGACTGATATGAATATATGTCCACATATAGATATCACTCTGTGTGCGTTTTGTTATATAGATTGGCTATTGGTTTGTACTTAACCAGAAAGCTTTAGATATATGTTTCTTTGTTTGAAATACCCGAAGAGGTATAAATAAATTCGGGAGAGATACTCACTTGCACTTTATAGTCCAGATATTCCAGTTTCAGTTCTGTAAATGTTTCCACCATTTTGAATTGACTTTTTCCACTCTATGATCACAGCAGCTGTCAAGCCGACTAAATTAGTTCAAGTTCATTAGCCCAGCCCCATTTCAAAGGCCCCCCTCCATTAGAGACCCCACTATCTGCTAACTATATAGTACAATCAATTGAACAAAGCTTGAACTTTCGACTGGCGGCTCGTTTGCTGCACACGCCAGACTCTGCGTTGTAGTCTCGGGCCTAGACTATATAGTAAACAATAGTATACTAATAGAAATTATTAGCATAGTCGACGCTGTCTGGCGAATTTGTCAGGGGTGTGGCTTATCGCTCTTCGAAATGAGTTGGCGAATTCAAATGTTGTTATTTGGGTGCTGATAAATGGCCAAAAAAAACTTTGGAAGTTTGCTTGAGTCGATAGCAAACAACATTGCGAAAACATTGAGTGTGGACAGCGATTTCCTCAATATCTATAGTCTAGACTTATATAACCAATTAGCGATCAAGGTCAGAGCCAAAGGAAAATAAACAAAATTCTGAGCTAAAATAAGCGCTATGATATGGTATCTAACGATGCAGCCTGCCTAGAATATATAATGCAGACTATACTAGAATCTATAATGTATCTGCACATTCCAAGGTCAGATTTATTTTGGCTGCAGATGTGACAAAAGTGAAATTAAAAATCCACTGCAGCTCAAACAAAATAGGCTATGCATCGCGGGGTGCATGACCAACCAATTCGGCGGGTTATCAAGGGTGCTGTAAGCTGTCGGTCATAAGAGTAAGAGCCCTCGATCGGTTCACCTACGTGTTTATTTTTAAAATGCCTGCACGGACCCACAAGCCCGCTGCAATCGGTGTTGTGCAATGCGAATTTATTTCAACGGCAAAGAAATATTTTGCTTCTATTTTTGGTTAGATATGCATTCGTATGTGCATTCTTCAATGGGCAAAAATATGGCAAGACATTTTGAGGTCAAATGTTTGTCGTTTTCTTTGCTCTTTGCTAAATGTTTATTTTATTCCAAAAACCAATTAGAGACAGTCTTATACCATATCTCTGTTTACTTCATTACCATCTCCAGGCAATTATCAGAATTTATTTGAGCTGCCCAAGTCAATGGCCCCCCTCATCAAATTTGATTGTCAAACTTTCGCTGACATTTCGACTCGGGCTGCCTCATCAAACCCAATTTTCGTATGCTTTTTGTGTCGCTGCTGCATGAGATTTCACTTTGTTAGTTTGTGGCTTTTCACGTTTTTGTTTTGCGGTCAAATTGCAAATTGCTCCGGCAATTGTCTCTGCAAGTCCAGCTCCATTTCCATTTGCTTTTCGCCGTTGAGTTTTCCGTTTTCCGTGCGCAGTTTGATCGACAAAAATATGCCAGTCGAGCTGCTGGCATCTTTATGACGATGCGATAATCAGACAATGCACTGGGAAAATAAGTTTTAGAAAGAAAAACGATTAGGATAACTTTATAAATTAAAAAAAATAACATTTTAGTTAAGTTATTCAGAGGTTTATATACATTTTCTGCAACTTGTTTATTAAAGTGAACATAATTTCTCTTTAAACTTTTGCAAGTGCATCAGCGATTTAGTTCAATTCATCTTTCGAGATAGATATTATATACGGGTATAGTTTGGGTGCACATTTTCCTATTGTCATGACGTGAGCCCGATTCAAATTGCATATATGCAGTATGCACACAGTACTCTGGCCAACCACTCAACGATTGTGTGTGCCATATATAATTGCCTCGATCATAAGCTCGGCGCATGTACAACGCTCGAGTTGGAATTGGAATCGGATGGGATTGGGAATTGGGGGAGGTGGGTTCCGGGCAACGGGGGCTATCAACTGGTAAACTTAATGGCCAGTGCAGCGATACTTTATGGCACTGGCCACTATATACTGTACAGTTGTCAGCACAGTGCTACTTAAGAAAAATCTGATTAATGTAATCAGACGTAATTGGCGCCTTTGGTTAATTTGCGTTGGGAAAATTTCACTTTCGCAATCGAATTCGAAAGCCCATTTGCATTGATTTCGCTTGAGCTATATATTTTAAATGGCATCGCGGTGATGCAGTAAAAAATAATTGCCATCTTTAACTAGGAAACTTCTCTTTTGTGTTTTCGAATTCACACTCACAATTAAGTTAAATAAGTGAGTTTCAACGAAATTGCAATTAAAATAATTGCCTTGGAAAACAGGATAGACTCAATGACGCATGTTAGATACTCTAAATTTTTAAAAGTAATTTTTCTAGACCTCAAACTTATTAAAAATTAGTTAATTATCTTTCTGTTCCCACTATTATTGTGGAATTTCTTTAATAACCAAAGTTAATCAAGCACCTGAGCTATGCACTTAAAACAATCCTCCTGCTCATCATTTAGCAGAGTATGGGGATTGCAATTAAATGAAATTAAGTAGCCGCCCCATTGAACCGCGAGCGCCCACGCAAACAAGCAGCTTACTGAATGAGAGAGGTTTTTTTTTTCCAACGGGGGTGGTGATTACGCAATGTGCACACAATTTGCTAAGCTCATTTCTCACGTTTTCCCCACTCTCTCTTTTTTTTCCATTGCCATTGCAGCTTCTACGCTACGAAGAAAACAGAAAAAGAACAAGACAAGAAAACAGCGTACAAAACAAAAAAGGAACATAAACAAATACAAAAAAGAATTAAATAAAAGACTGAGCAACGTTCAAGCAAATCCAAGGAACAAAAAACAAAAACATAAGCAATCTCCACACATTTTGTCTCTCTAACTGTGAAACTAGGCCCAAAATATAAACTCTAAAATCCGAGTGGAAAAAGCGCAACTTTGATCTCAGCACACCCGCAACCACAACCAGAAGCAATACGAAAAGCCAGCGCATTTCACCGCCGGATCAGCCGCATTAACCCCGTATAATGTTAAGCAGCCTCGCCTCGTATCTCTTTGGATCGCCAGCAACATCCGATTCCATTAGCCAAGACGCCAATCCCGCCCAGAGCCCCAGCAACAACTCGAATCCCGGACCGACCAGCGATCCAGCAGCTGGCGATGTAATTGAGGTCACCTCATCGACGCCCTCGGTAGCGGGCAACAATCGGGGGGCGGTACGCGCCTCCAACGGCAAGAGGGGCAAGAATAGGCGTGGCAAGCAGCAGCGGATCAACCAGCAACAGCAGCGGAAGCAGCCGGCCATCACCAAGCTGCTGACGCCATCGGGTGAGACCATCGACGAAGATTTCGACGAGGACGAATGGTACATCGTGGAGAAGGAAGGTGAGATCAGAGCTCCAGAGCTCCAAACAATCTATATACAAACATAAAATTAATCACTTCTTTGCCTTCTTTTTAGACGAGGAGGACGACTCCTTGCCGCGCAGCGACTCCGAGGAGGAGCTCTCCGTGGTAGAGGTGTCGCAGCCGCGGGGCGGTGCCACCTCTTCGGGCTCCTCGGCTGCCGGCCATGGCCCAGCGGCCGCCGCTTCCCGCCGCCGGCAGCACCTCAACTCGCATTCCCTGTACAGTGGGCCACGGCCGCAGCAGCAGCGCAACTATCTGCAACGCTCGCGCGTCGCCCGGCCGCTGAGCATCAGCACCCTCAGCCCGCCCAGAAGTGTACCCGCCCAGGGATCGGCGGATCCTGACACCCTCAGCCAGTCGCTGTACGTGGCCTCGCCTAGCGGCAGCGACCAGGGTCAGGGCTTGGGTCTGGGACAAGGTCTCGGCCAGGGTGCTAACGTGCTGATGGAGGAGTCCTGGTACGTAACACCGCCACCATGCTTCACCTCGATTGGGCCAATCAATATGGAAACATCACCATTTGAGAATCTATTGATTGAGCATCCAAGGTTGGTGATCTTTATAGTACACAATACGAGTCCACAACCCCACCCTTCCTCCGTTTCCATCAACCACAATTTACAGCCAAAACGCACGCAAAACTGCTAGCTGCCTTTTTTTGAGTTATTGATTTTTATTTAATTCGTGGTTTCTCTGGTTGTCTTACAGCATGTCCGTTTATCGTAGTATTAGGTCCACCCAGGAGGGCACCGAAAGTTTTGTTAATCTTGATCTCGGGGTGTCGGCGGAGGTGCCGCAGCAGCAGCAGCAGGATGATCCCGAGCCGGAGGCTGAACCGCAGGATCAGCGCCAGGCTCTCCAGGAGCAGCGTTCTCACAACGCTCGCTACGATCGCCATGCGGCTGCCCAGCTGAAGCAGCAGACGCTGGCTCGTCAGAGCCAGAAGGTAAGGATAGAGGAGCAATGATTGAGTTGACTTGTTCCTAATCTATATTCACTTTATTTAACCTTCAGAGCAACAACAAGAAGCAGCACCAGCAGCTCTGCCGCAGTGCCATTAAGCGGGCCAACAAGGTGCGGGACTTCCAGGCCAAGGCCAACCGCCCGCGCCGCTCTGAGATGCAGCACTGCAAGCTGGTCAGCGGCGCCAACAACAACCGCAGCAAGTGCTGCTACTAGGCGTGCACCAACCGCACCACCCAAAAAAAAAAACAACACCACCACCACCCACACGCCTCCCAAGCCCAAACGCCGGAGGAGCATTACAATCATGGCAGGCGACGCGAGGGCAACGCGTTCCGATTTTAATTAGTATTTTAACTTAACCCCCAAGATGAAACGAGAAAATCTGCAAAACAAAAATGCCACAAAAATATCAAAATCTAGCAGCTAAAAACAAAACACACACACACACACACATATGTTTAATTAATTAAACTTAACAATTAATTGTGTAAAAACGAAAAACAAAAGCCACAAAAAAATTTAACTATCTGTGTAAATGCGTAGGTTTTAACGTTTGCCGTTTCAATTTCAAAACTTATATGAAAAAATACCAAAAAAATGCAATAAAATTTTCAAAATGAATATGCAAAAAAACCCATAAGAGGAAAAAAACACACATGGAAAATGACAAAAAAAACATGTATAAAATAAGCAACAGAAACGATTTTGTTAATGTAGCTAAGAAAACTATTTTATTTATTTAACAATCAAAAAACACACACACATACGATTAATTTACTGTATGTTTTGCAACAATTTTATGTTTATTTGCGTGAGAGCAATCTCTTGAAACCGATTTGTTTGAGTTTGTATGAATTTCTGTGTGTAAAGTGTATGCTTACCGACAAGTAGGATATATTGTATTAAAACCCCTCGAACCTGATCTAATGTTCTATTGTATGCCTGATTATGTTGGAAATGCGCGTGCGTATGTATGAAACAAAATGTGTGAGACAGGGGACAAAAAAAGATAAAAACATATATATAACAAAAGGAAAAAATCGCAATAAAAAATGATTATGCTAAAACTTAAAAGCTACATACATTTTTATGGCAATAATGGGTTTCTGGGGGATACTTTAAGAATATTTATTGGTTTTCTGTTTATTTTTAATAGATCCGAGTACAGCCTAATAGTCTGATATTAATACTTCAATAATATAAATGTTAGTATTCAGAGTTCTTATAATGATTTTCAAATATTTATGGAACCTTAAGTTCCCTTCTGCTATGTGGGTTAATCGTAATGATTTAAGGAGCGTGTTGTCACGCTCGCTGGGCAAGGTCTGCCCTTGCTTGGATATGGATATTCAGACATTGTCCATAGAGACGCAGTTATTCCAGGGTCAAGTGGCAGGGAGGCGGACGAGCCTTTCACAATGCTTAAAGTGCCAAGTAACTAATTAGTGATTAGTATTTTAGCGCAGACACGCTTGGCAAACGGTGGCAATTAAACGAGCCTAACTCGACAGTTAGGTGCCGTTGACCTTGGCCAAAAGGTAAGGGGTTACCCAGCAGCTCCTCCAACTCCTCCTTTTCCTCCGACTTCCGCGATGCAAAGCGAGTCTAACGGCGAATCACAATGAAAGTAAATCAGCAAATGGAATCATCTCAGGTGAGCTCTTCGAGATTCTTTCACAACCTGCAATAGGTGGAGAGCCCTGAGAGGCATGAGAATGCGGTTGGCTGGCTATGCTCTTCTACACTGATAGAAAAATCGTATAATTAAGGAGGAGGAAAATTCTTAACAAGCAGGTAATGTGTTGAATAACAGAGAAGGTGTGTTGCGAAATAAGAATTCCTTTTCCTGACGGGAAACTTTAACGATCCTTTACTATTCATTTCTAAGGATCTTTAAAAATATGCCTACTTTAATAATTTTTATTTTGACTTATAAGATAACTTGTTAGATCAACCCCTTTAACTAAAAAATTTCCTCTGTGTAACCCATTGGATAGCTGGATATGTAGATGGATGGAGGAAAACTTTATAAAGATCCGCACTAGCCGCGCTTGGCTTCACACCTGCTCGCATCGCGAAGAGCTGCAAACCATCGTCCGCGAAAATTATAAGACTCAGAAATCCAAATCCAACCGGCAACGGTACTCGGAACTCCATTCGGACTATTATGTAAGATTAGGCAATCTGCGAACACACATCCACTTACCAACTCGCCCAACTCCCCCTACTTTGCGGCTGATTCTATTTGGCAAGTTGCACTTGAGTGATTTTTCGGGCTTCCAAAAAAAAACGGAAAACTAACAAACCTTTGAACAGACGTGCAATATGTAAAGCGGCCCAAATGACGTAGCCAAGAAAACCCGACAAAAGCTGCCAACCAAAGATCGCGCAATATCAAAAACCATTATCGAAAGTGAGACCGAGACAAAACCCCTTAACAAAAATAGCAGTGCGAACCGTTTTGTAGCGTTTTTAAGACCAACATCAGATCCGGATCGTCAACTTTTATGGCCAACGTCGCGAGGATTTGCTAAGCCCCCCGAAATGGGCCATGTTGTTCGGTGTCAGTTGGTCAAAGTGCGTGCTGAGCTGTGAACTGTGACCCCTGATTCGCGTTTGTGGGTGTGAAGAAAAGCACTTTGGAAAATCCCATTCACGTTGAGCAGGTCAGTGCCTAAACTGATCTGGCATTAGGAGGGTAAAGGGATTAAAGACAAGGAGATTTTAATAAAAGAGGTGAGTTTTGCAAAAGAATAAGAGATCACATTTTAGCGTGAAGAACTTGCTCGAAATAATGAAGCCTCATCACCCAGAAATTTACAGTTTACAAGTTTTATAGCAATATTTAGCATAGTAGCAACCAATATTTAAGAAAATATTTAGAATTAATTAGATTAGGTTATTAATTTGATGGTGATCTTAGAAGGACTAAGTACACCAAATAACCTTCTGCCAGGAAGAACTGTCAATGGCCGAAACCGGTTATCCACCTACCAATAACGTGTTTTGGTACCGTTAGGTATTTGCAATTAATGCAGGCAAAGGAAAACGGCTCAAGGTCAGCTAAGTGCGATTAACTATAATTATAAAAGCCAAGTGTAGGAGCAAAAGCAGAAGAACAACAACAGCAACAAGAGTGGCAAATAATGAAAGCCAAAAACCGAAACCAAAAACCCAAGTAGAAAAAAGAAGAAGCGGCTACAACAACATCAACTATTGCATAACAGTAGACAACAACAAAAGCCAGGCAAAAGGCGAAAACAAAAAAAAAAACAATAAACAAACAGCAACAAGAAGTTGAAGTAATTATAACAACAATTAAGCAAACGGCGTGCGTTTTTACAGCTAAGCTGAAGAGCAGCCAAGCATTTTGGTGGGCGAAGGGTAATGGCGGGGGCGGATCATATCATTCATTAAAATGTAATCCAAGTTTAAGCGCAGACTAAAATCGTAGACATCTAAGTTCTGCGTGGGCCATAATTAAACCATCGCAACCGGTGACAGTTTTATGGCTTTGACCTTATCGCCAGACAAACGGAGTTAGAAGATGATGAATCTGGCGTTGTCATTGTTCTGGCTATAACTTCAACGACATTGATAGAAGGGAAAACCAGCATGGTTAAGAGCCCAACGGAAGTTACATTATGCTTGTTAGGCTTAGATAAATTAATTTAAGAACAAATATTAAGCATATTTCCTTACACTCTTTTAACTAGATCCGAATAATAAGACATGATTTGTTTTATGGCAGTAAAAGAGAATTAATAATAAATTTAACTATTAATAAAACTATTTTAGTATTAGGTATCCAACCTTACTCGATCCAAGTAACTAAACTAATCTAAGACAGTCTTGCGATATAGTAACTATAATATTATGACCTCTATCTTTATGATCTGCCATAAATCAAGTTAAGGGCATTTCATCTTCACGTTCCAAGATCCTCCTAAGATCTTCTACCTATCCACATTGGCCACAATTAATTTATGAAGCACAAACTTCCTTCCTGCCAGCACGCATTTGGTGTAACCAACGGCAGACAACACTTGAGTGACCACTAGCAAGGTCAGCATGTGGCAGCACCAAGCATGACGATAATTATGATACCGATTCGCATTCCGATAATATTGAATGGTCCCCTATGGTTCTCAATTTCCATCTTTGCAGCTGCCAGTCGAGTGCCGGACATGAAGATGTGCAGATTGCCCAAGCAAAGGTGGCTCCCCAGGCCAATTCTAGTGCTAATGATAATGATGATGCTGCTCATGGAATTGCAGGTAAGGAACCTTTCACCTCTGCCTGATTGCCCAACCAAGAGCATTGCCCAAGTTGAGGCTGATGGGAAATCTAATCTATTTAACAGTTCTTAGCATGAACTTCCTGATTAGGCCACATGAACCGTAACCAATCGTTGGCCAATAGCCAGCCCGTCTAACGGATATGCTCTGCTCTAATGCAGATTGCGTATCGACCGCGAACGGAAGAAGCTTTGTCTGGCCAAAAATATGTGGCTTTGTTGCCATTGCTGCTGATGCAGCACTTTTACAGTTTTGCTTTTTTTTTCTTGGGGCTCATAAAACCAAAGACTTGAGACACAAACTCGACCGAGTGATTTATGGCATTGCGTATACGCCCCACGTGCCGCACGCACTTCTTACAAATGCTTCTTTTTTGTTGCAGCAGCCCATCAGTGGATTGGAACAGACCACAGATTATTCGGTTGTTAGCAAAAGTGCTGGTGTTGCTACCACTACTTCGGCACCACCCACGCTTGTACCTCCACTTCGAATCTTCAAAGGTAGCATTCAGACCACAACTCCTTCCTCGAGAAGTATCACCAGTCGTCCTTTGGCCGTTGGAGCTGAGGCGCAACAGGAATTGGTTGGCCTTTCCTCAAAATCATATATCTCCGGACCGACTACACAACCTTCCAAGTTGTCAAAGAGAGCTGGACTAGCAGGACCTAAGAAATTCCCCAAGGACGTCCGAAATCGCAGCAGCAATGCTGTGGAACGCAACAAACTGCAACATGAAGTGGTGAGTTTGGGTAGAAAGACTTAAAAAAACTTTTACTGAAATTGCACATTTTAAAGCCCGATCACGTGCCTGACTCCTCTGGTTATATACCCCACCGAATCGGCCATCCCGTGCACTTAGATTATGGTTCCACGGGAGTGGATTCAAGTGGTGCTCCTACAGGCAGTGGAGCTTATCATGCGGTGCCCTATGAAAACAGCAAGTGGCAGGAGGAGTACTGGGATCAGGAGTACGCGGGCCATCAACATAATGGAACAAGAGTCCAGCGTAAGTATAAATACTTACTAGTAAGAATAATGTAAAGTAATGTCTTGTCTCACCTAGATATCGAAGCGGAGTGTCAGGATGATTATATGAAAATACGGATTGGTTTTAATGGTTCCTTCAGTGGTTTGCTGTACTCGGCTGGTTATGCCTATGATCCGGATTGTATGTACATTAATGGATCTGGAAGGGATTACTATGAGTTTTACATACAGTTGAACCGCTGTGGCACTTTAGGCAAGAACTCTCTACAAGAAGAAAGTCGCAAGAATCCCACGGTGCGTATGATTGATATAAGATATGATCACATGACTTTAATGTACTTTCTTTTAGAACTTTATGTGGAATACGGTAACAGTACAGTATAATCCACTCATCGAAGAGGAGTATGATGAACACTTCAAGGTCACCTGCGAGTATGGCTACGATTTCTGGAAAACCGTGACATTTCCCTTTCTAGATGTGGAGTAAGTAAGAAACAAATAATGTCAGATCTAGTTTCTAATATGATATCACCCTCAGAGTGGCTACTGGCAATCCTGTGGTCTTTACTTTGAGTCCTCCCGAGTGCTATATGGAGATACAGAATGGTTATGGTATTGGCGGTCCAAGAGTAACAGGTCCAGTGCGTGTGGGCGATCCCCTGACCTTGATCATCTACATGAGAAGCAAATATGGTAAATAGACTTAATCTTCCAATCACAACTGATCTATTAATGGTGATCTTGCGATTTGCAGACGGCTTCGATATAGTGGTCAACGATTGTTATGCCCACAATGGCGCGAACAAGCGGATACAGCTGATCGATCAGCATGGCTGTCCAGTGGATGACAAGCTCATCTCACGCTTCAGAGGTTCCTGGTCCGATTCTGGAGTGTACGAGACGCAGGTGTATGCGTACATGAAGACCTTCCGGTTTACTGGATCCCCGGCGCTCTATATCGAATGCGATGTGCGGATGTGCCATGGGCGGTGTCCAGTAAGTTATTCCAATCATAAATCAAATTTGTAAACTATAATTTATTTTTCACAGAGCCAGCCATGTCACTGGAGGAATCTGAAGGCAGTGACCAAGCGCGACACCTCCAACATGACAGCTACAAATCTCTCGATTCCCCCATTGTCATTCGATGGTGAAGGACAAACCACAGAGAATCCACCTACCAATTCGCTATCGGAGAATGTGAATCTCTTCCAATCTCTGCGTGTCTTGCAAGAGGGTGAAACTGATGGAGATGATGTGTATGCCCATCGGCAGACGAAGCCTTTATCACCACATCAAACATGCCTGAAGACCTCCACATTTTCCGCATTAACCGCTGGCTGTTCGGCGGTATTGTGCGTGCTAACAGTAACTCTTTTTATTGCCTGTTCGAGGTTAAAGCGTCGCAAGGAGTCCTCACTGTACGATTCCTATATAGCACACAAAGGACAAATCGATTGATGATGAGAAAATTGGCCAACTATTGGCCTTGTTCTGAGCACATTGTGTATATAGCTTATGGCCCACGACATACTGTTTTAGTTAGAGCTAAGTTTACTGTAGTATTTTCTTAGGTTCTGCGTGTTAGTCATAAGTTTTGATTTTGCCAACTGATCGCGGGTGAAAAAAGTACAGAACACCGACGGTCCCTAAAATTATAAAAAAGATTACATTTTCGTTTCTTACCAAATAAATTTTTTTAAAGAGATGATTTTATGCCTTATAATAACTTTAACAAGACATCAATATCAAGATCGGATTTATCTACATTTAATCTGATTTTACATTTCTTGTATTTTCAAAACATCTTGAAGTGCTGCCTACTTATTGGCGGCAATAAAAATTACAGGTATTTGAGACAATTTGAGATGGTAAAACATGCTGCCTGCTTTTCGGCTTGTCCAATAAACTCTCTTCAATTCGTCAAATTGAAATGCATCTGAGGCCATTGGCGGCATGTTTTGAGTTAACGCTTATGCCGCCCCATGTGGCAGGCATAAGGAAATCGAAGGTGACTTGTGACACCTGTAGCACTTCCTCATGAGACCGGCTTTGTCCTCAGCCATTGACACGTCCATATTCGGTGATTTTGGGGAGCTTGTCAACGAGCCGTGAAGATTTATGTGTTTTGACTGTTTTTTTGTCGGTCGTGCGCCTAGCCGCATGATTTTCCCTTGCCGTTGCCTCGAAGACGCTGTGTTTGACACAAATTTTCAACTGCGGCGCGCCGCAAAACATTGCCGAAAAGTGTTAATATGGTTGAGGACTTTTAATATTGCCCAACCGCCAATGCAACAACTTCTGCATTAGCAGCAGCCACAGAATACACTGCTAATTGTGCAATTTTCGATGGCCTGTACATTTCGCCTCTATTATTGTTTGGGCAAACGCTTCGTCTGTTCTTGGGTGTAAAAATTAACACGGAATTGGCCAAAGCCAACGGCTAATTAATTTATTTGACTGTGCGAAAACAAACAAAAGAATCCACAAAAACAATCCAAATATGTTTATGATATCACATTACACTTATGCGCAGAATGGCAGTTATTTTCACACAACAGTTTTGCATACAATGATTGTTCGCTGTCGTTTCTTTCTATTTTTTTTGCTCATTTATGATTAATGACAGTTTAAGCGGCGAGTGAGCAAAACACACTAATTGAATCATAAGGTGGAAGTGGCACTCTAAAAATTGAAATTCCGCGGCATGCCTCCTCTCTTTCTTTGCATAACGACCCCGCCCAGTGGGTTTTTAGGTGATTTCTCCACCATTTCTAGGCCATCTTGAGCACGTAGATCTGCGGCTTACTATTTACTTATTTTTAGAGGCGACCTTGACTAAAGTGTTTCAATTGAATGCAGCAAAATGATTAACTAAAAATTTATGAAGATACAGAAATTAATTTGATGTAATTTGCGTTGGCGTTGCCATTGATTTTATCGGTCTCCAGCGGGCGAGAGGAAAAACTTGCCTCTGGCTGCTGGTGACACCAAAATGGCACCCAAATTGCGCCAACAGCACCACACAAAGGCTTCAAAGTTGTACTTTTTATGCGCTTAGAGGCGACCTTAAAGTTTTTGCTTTTGCCCAGTGAAGCCGCATGTCTCATAACTTGCACGTTCGTGGCCTGAGTTTTTCGTCTTTCGTTGCATTGTATTGCGCTGTCATGCGCACATGAAAATCATCATCAGCAAGCCAGGCAGCCAGGTAGCCAAACGCCAAAGAAAAACCACACCGAAAAAAGGTATCGTTTTTTACCACAATTTATCAGGTCAAAATGTAGCACTAAATCTTAAAAGATATGTATGGAGTTTTAAAAATGTATTTTGAAAATAAAAAATACTCTTTTTCCTTACATTTCAAATAACATATTTTGGTAGTGACCTAGATCTTTATTTCATGATATAAAAAATGGAGATTTATTAATAGGATATTAGTTTGATTTAGAATTTCAGTCCTTTATGTTCATTGGGCATTGTATCTTGATCAAATCTATCACAATTTTTTCCCGTGCATCGAAGGCAACATCAGTAACTCTGTAAAAATCAGTAATGTAAAAATATGCTTTCATTACCAAACGTCTAGCGCACTGTATAGCTCATATGGCATGTATAATGTTTTTCTTTTGGGCAACTCATCGTCTGTTTCTTTTCAGTTTTTCCTCTGCAGAGAATTTTTAAGCGCTTTAAGGCTTTCATAGTAGTTGTTTTGCCCCAACCCTTAATAGATTAAATAAATTGTGCAGCTATCAATCAATTGGCGGAAGTTCACAGGCCCAAAGCCAGCAGCCATTTGGCAATATAATTCAAAATGTAATTAAAGGTTGAGACAAGTGCTGACAGCTGAATGAGAGTTCGAAACCGAAAAGGTCAAAATTATTGCCTTACAATGTAGGAGGCATAAAAGAATGGGCTTGCATTATCAGATAACTGGAACAAATTCGGTGTACTCGAAAGCCGAAAGCATTGTTTTTGAAAAACCTTAACATTTTACTCAACATTTATTTAAATCATTTAGGCGCCATAAGGAACTGCGCTTTTGCTAATGATACCCACTGGCGATTAGACGCAGTTGAATTGTGGTAGAAAAAACTATGAAATAACAAATTAAATGCCACGCCCACATGACCTTTTGAGGCGTTGCCTTTGTTCGTTATTTTTTTGTTGTTGCTGTTTGCTTAATTTATAGGCCCAAGTGTTGTGTCATAATTAAACATTTTTATAACACAATAAAGCTAGATTTATCAGATAGCGGAAGCATTCTTCCATTTACTTTTCGCAATCACTGTGCTGGAAACTTTTTGTGGGAGGCGGCAACCCTGGAGGCCAAGCACATGTAAACAAAAATTATCATCAGCTGATAAGGCCAACTGCCTTTGTTTACAAACTAAAGATTTGTTAAAGGGTGGGTTCACGGAAAAACACCTCTGGAAAAGAGAGAGCTTTCTCAATTTTTCTCTCACTTATCCGGGTTTCTTGCGTCTGCGCTGTGTCATTTTTGTCAGATTTGGCTGCTGCGCTCTAGAAAGTCAGAATCCCATTGATTTTTATCCAGAATCCCGAAGTAGAGTTCTTAATCCGCACCCAAACTGACGGCTCCAGCTCAAGACGGAAAGTTCGGAAAGAAAATTGCAAAAAAAGCTGTGAAAATTAAGCAATAAATTGAAAAGTAAATAACCAAAATCAAGAAAAACTTGATATAAGGTGAAGTGTGTTGTTTTCAAGATGTTTGCCTGGATTTAAGGCTATAATTTTTGTGTCTACAGTTTTTGGGGCGTGGGCCCAGCCAACCTGATACTCCAAATTAGCCATGTCCCTGGAGTAAGTGAAAAAGTGGAAAAATTATGGAGTCTTCCAGCAAATCCTGGCTGCTGTGCAGCATCCTTGTGCTTCTGGCAATTACCTTGGGTACGTACTTTGGGCTACGAAGGAATGACTGGGCGACTGCCCCGCCCACTTTCGGGCTGGGCGGTTATGTAATAAATATATGTAAAAAAAACTCCGAGATGAGGGCTCAACAACTCTGTTAACTCTGCTAACCGTTTCTTAGACCCCGCAAAAAACCAAAAAAAAAAGACAACTATCTCTCTATTTCTCTTCTCTTAGCTAGCTTACGATTTTACAGCAATGATTTGATTTTTTTCTTAAATTTACGCTTAGCGCTGGCAGCGCCGCCTTAACAAGTTCTCCAAGCTCTCATTGCCAACCACCAAGTACCAAGTACCAAGAACCAACTACCACCGGCCCTTCAGCTCCTGGCATCCAACGTTTTGTGTATATAGCTTAGCCACACTACCCCAAAAAGAACATCAACAACAACAACAATGGTACTGGATATAGTAGCTATAAAACCAGTAGACCAGCAACAACTACAACAACAACCGCCACACAAATCTCAGCTTGCGATTGCCCAACAAGAAATGAGACTTGGAGAATCTGCCAAAGCGTCGCTGCTGCAGCGCTGCAAAACGAAAAAAAAAAAAATACCGAAAATTATAACCGAATCACAACTGCGCTAGTCATCAACTCTATGTAAACTATATATATAATCTCAAGTAATCTCAAGTAGAACTCCTCATAGCACATTTCCCGCACTCAGTTAAGTGCCGCCCCACAGACTTATAGATCTTCTGGCATAGCTATAACTTCTAACTCTATATAGATTCACTTAACCTTAGCTTAGCTCTAGCTATCTCTCTTTCTTGCTCTCGCTCTCTGTCTCTTGCTCTCTCTTTCGCTCCCGCTCTCCGTCTCTCTCTCTCTCTCTCTACAATGCTCGACAACTGTAAACTTCTGTACCTGAACCAAACTATCAAACTATACTTCCAGTACACCTGCATACTCGTCTTACTCTATGAATATTTTATACATATTTTAAATTCCCCGGCTATAATCGCTTTTGTAATTAAACCTTTCACCAGAGTCCCCTCTGCATCTCTCTTGCTCTCTCTGTCTCTCTTTGACTTTATATCTCTCTATCTCTGTCCACCCCTCCCAAAAAAAAAATATATATATTTAAAAAAAAACCCCATGACTGTGTATCTACGTAAAGCGTGGTAGCCAAGGTCCTTGAGGGACCCGCAGGATGGGTGGTGGCATATTACAACCCGACCGACCACCGCAACCGAAATGAACAGCAACCGAAAAGAAACAGAAAATGCGAATCAAACGAAAATGCAATGAACTGAACCAACAATGCATACATATATTTATATACGTGTATATCAAGATTTCTGTATCAACTGCCGAATCTTAATTCATACTCCTTCTCTTCTGAGCAGTCCAAGAAGTAACGAAAAGAAAAGCAAATAGAAATTGTAGTCGAATATTGCATAGACAGAACCCCCCATACAGGCTTAGAGTTATATATGATATATATATTAAATAAAAAGAATATTAGAAAATTCAATCACCAGCATACAAACACACACAATCAGACATTCGCTTAGTATCATCATCATATATTATCCACCCTAAAAATCATATCGTTCACCTAGCGTAAAGTGCAACTCCAAAAACGAGTTTCGAAAGTCACGCACCCATACTGTAGCAGAAGTTCGTGCTCCATATATGAGACCACTTACACACACACACACACAACCGACCAGAGACACACGAACAAATACAATCAAAAGACAAGGATAACCCGGTCACACACACATGCGGCTGAGAGTGTGGGCCCCAGCATCCCTGAGCTTTTAAAGCTCTGTCTATTTCTCTGTCTCTCTCAACTTCTCTCTCGAAGGACACCGCGTGGAGCTTTTCCGGATAAAGTTTGCCCAGCTGTCAAATTGAAAGGAAAACAACTGTAATCAGGGATTATAGCCATCTCGGTTCCCCGTAGTACATAGAAGAAGAAACTCCCGTTAGGTTCTTAGAACGTCCCTGATCGGGCGCCACTTATATGTTGCACTTTGTTAAGCACAAGTTATCGATTAGCTAGCTCTATAACCTTGTTAACTTAGAACGTGTTTTAAGCCAGGACTCTAGGACTGTAAGAACCACGAGGCACTTGCATTAAACCATCCACCATGTGGGGAGGGGGGGTCCCATGGACCACTTCTCCTGCTCATAGTTCTTGTTTAATGGAAGTGCCTAACATGCGGCGTATACTCAACGTAGGCCAGAACAACAGCAACAACATCAACAGTGCCACTAGCACACCACCACCACCACCACAACCACAAGAGACACCCACCTGCACCACCAAAAACAGCCAAAACAGACACAGTAAAATAAACCACAATCGAGCGGTACTCATGTGTCGTCCATTTTTGTTTTACTTTCCCAATCAAAATTCAAAAATGATGCGATGAAGTTGAAGGCGATGAATCGGTTTATAACGTCTGAGAATGCCTCTGTCCTATCTGCCTATCTCTGTCAGTCTCTCTCTCTCTCTCTCTCTGTCTTTCACTCTTCCTCTCTCTCTCGCTCTGTCTCTGTCTAACTCTATCTGCCTATAAGCTAAATCATTCCTAAAGCCCATTCAAAAATATTAAGAAAAAAGAACAACATGAAAAACTTAAACAAAGAATACAACAACTTTGCTCATCCGTTCGTCTCTTTGTTTCTCTGTATTTTCTTTCATTACTTTTGCCTTTGGATCCCTATGTGTTATTTGTTCCAAATTAACCTATATCCCCTATACTCCCCCTCCTCCACTGAATCCCTGAATGTTTGTGTGCCCTCTTCGGTTCTCTTGCTTTCGCTTCCGTTTCCGTTTCCGTTTTCGTTTGTGTTTTTTAGTCAGTGCATCCGAAGATGAAGAGCGCTTGGTGCGTGACCTCTTTCGAGGCTACAATAAACTCATACGACCCGTACAGAATATGACACAAAAAGTTGGAGTAAGATTTGGTTTGGCGTTCGTACAGCTAATCAATGTCGTAAGTGTTCTCAAAATCAAATTTGTCAAACAAAAAAACAACCTGAATAATAACAATAAGATTATGCTAATAAAAAAAAAACAAAAATCATAATTAACATTCGTAGAGTGTAAATGTGTTTTCGAGTTCTGTTCCTAACAAATTCTTCAGTTTCGTTGCTGTCATAATCGTCCATCTGAAAAAAAGAAACACATAAAAACACACCCACACACGCCCATTAACAGTCAGCGACACCCACATATATACACACATACACATGCACTTGGCTGCTCCCTCGGCCACGCCCCCTCGCCGGTCAGGTGGGGGCGGGAGGAGGTGTGCATCTAAAGTTTTCAGTTTCGGTTATGCTTTGTAAATAATTACGTACACGTTGTCTTGACTTTGTATGTTTGTAGTGAACTTGATGCTAGAAAATCAAATACAAAATACAAATACTAACCCTAAACCATTAAGATTAAACAAGCAAAACAAACTAACCAACCAACTAACTAACTAACTAACTAACTAAAGTAAAGCCACATGCGAAATAATGTCTTAACTACCTTCCCACCCGCTCTCTCTCTCTCGAATTCTCGATTGTGTACGCCAAATTCGATTCGATTTCGATTCGTTTCGAATCTCAAATGCAAATCGTACCCGTACTCCGTACTTCGTACCGTTCTCTCACACCACCAATAAAACCACCAAACCACCAACCAACCAACCAACTAACCAACCAACCAACCACCAAACCACCACCATCTGATCACAATCAAAAACCGAAAAAACAAACGAATTTCCGAAAAACCGAAAATCGAATCAAACCGATCAAGAATGAGAAAAATCAAATTATGAAATCAAACGTTTGGTTACGTTTGGTTTGGTACGACTACCAGCTGCAGTGGGATGAGGCCGACTACGGCGGCATCGGGGTATTGCGTCTGCCCCCCGACAAGGTTTGGAAGCCGGACATTGTGCTCTTCAATAAGTGAGTAAATGGCCATTTTCTAGCTAACCCATCAACTCCAACTCTGTACACTAACCAAGACAAGAAAATAATAAATAGTAACCGTAGGCGAAAGTCGGAGCTTTCCTCGAGATCACACTTTTACTATCCCATATTAATCGTATACTTTTCCGCCGACAGTGCCGATGGTAACTACGAGGTCCGCTACAAGTCCAACGTACTGATCTATCCAACTGGAGAAGTCTTGTGGGTTCCCCCGGCCATTTACCAGAGCTCTTGCACCATCGATGTCACCTACTTCCCCTTCGATCAGCAGACCTGCATCATGAAGTTTGGATCGTGGACCTTCAATGGGGATCAGGTGTCTCTCGCCCTGTATAACAACAAGAACTTTGTGGATCTGTCGGATTACTGGAAGTCGGGCACTTGGGATATTATTGAAGTGCCTGCTTATCTGAACGTCTACGAGGGCGATGGCAATCATCCCACGGAAACGGACATCACCTTCTACATCATCATCCGGCGAAAGACACTCTTCTACACTGTGAATTTGATTCTGCCCACGGTGCTGATTTCGTTCCTTTGTGTTTTGGTATTTTACCTGCCAGCCGAGGCGGGTGAAAAGGTAAGATCGATCATCAAGCCCCGCTGTTAGAGGGTCACATCTGGCCATGGGTGGGGTCAAGCGAAGATTACATTTAAATAAACCCGCCTAAGGTTTGTCAAACTAACATTTTTCATTTAATTAATGGTTAAAGAATCATCCTAAACGTTAATAAGCTAAACCTAAACATCTGGTTTTTAATTTGATCAATTCAAAAAATACAAAACTGATTAATAATTCCAATTCGCTTTGCTACTACGGTTTGGATTTTGATAAAAATATTGTTAATTAAGTAATGCTGGTTAAACCAATCTTTCGGTTAGCGTTTCCTGGAATATAATTTTAATTTTAAATGTTTTTAAGCTGGTATTTACTAAGCTGAAGATGAAGAAAAACTCATTTTATGTCTCCACTGTAACCTGATCGTTTACTAACGACTTGTATCCCCAGGTCACGCTTGGAATTAGCATTTTGCTGTCACTGGTTGTGTTCCTGTTACTGGTGTCGAAGATTTTACCGCCGACGTCGTTGGTGCTGCCGCTGATCGCCAAGTATCTGCTGTTCACCTTCATTATGAACACGGTGTCCATTTTGGTGACTGTGATCATCATCAACTGGAACTTCCGAGGGCCGCGCACCCATCGCATGCCCATGTACATCCGATCCATATTCCTGCACTACCTGCCCGCCTTCCTTTTCATGAAGCGCCCTCGGAAGACCCGTCTGCGCTGGATGATGGAGATGCCCGGAATGAGCATGCCCGCCCATCCCCATCCCTCTTACGGCTCGCCGGCCGAGCTGCCCAAGCATATCAGCGCCATCGGTGGCAAGCAGTCCAAAATGGAGGTCATGGAGCTGTCCGACCTGCACCATCCCAACTGTAAGATCAACCGCAAGGTTAACAGCGGTGGGGAGTTGGGCCTGGGCGATGGATGTCGCCGGGAGAGTGAGTCCTCCGACTCCATCCTGCTCTCCCCCGAGGCCAGCAAGGCCACCGAGGCAGTGGAGTTCATCGCCGAGCACTTGCGGAATGAAGATCTGTATATTCAGGTTGGTAGTTTGTGAAAAAATAAATTGTCGATGTTTAAAATAGTAAAATAATGATAATTCACTAACAATGTATCTTCTCCTCATTAAAACGCTACTTTGTAGACCCGCGAAGATTGGAAGTACGTGGCCATGGTGATCGATCGCTTGCAGCTGTACATCTTCTTCATTGTGACCACGGCCGGAACGGTGGGCATTCTGATGGATGCCCCGCATATTTTCGAGTACGTGGACCAGGATCGCATCATCGAGATTTACAGGGGAAAGTAAGGTAGTGAGAACTTGGAGCAGCCAGGGGCTGATTGAAATGGTTAACAGCATTGCAAACGCAACAATAATAAGCAAAAAACGAGGTATCGAGTCAGATGATAACAATGAAAAATTGCAACAATTAATGCGGATTTTTAGATTTTAATAATTAAAGAACACTAAAAGATATTTGCTTGAGCAGAATTAACACCTAAAATAACTAACTAATATTAACTCATTTTTGGTACACACACGAATTGGAACACTGAACACACTAAACAGTCGTCAAGTAAAACGAATAAGCAAATAATTCACCAGCAGCAAATGTTAAACAAATGAATCAAAACCAACCTAGTGGAATTGTGAGTGTATTTATAATTTTTAAACTTATAAACGAACTTAGCTAATATAGACATATAGAATGAAGTTTAGTTTAAGTGCAATAAACAACGGGCGACCGTTTCCCAAAAATCTTGTTATGTTGTGCCCAACTTAATCATAAGTAATCGCAGTTTTACGCATGAGATTTAAGAATGGAAACACCCCAAATAAATTTGTAAATGCTTCTCACAAAAAAAAAAAAACGATCACATCTAGCATAAAGATCGACTTAATCGGAGGCTCCGACCCGGAGCCAACATGAAACCAATAAAAATGCAAAGTTAATTAACAAACTGTCTATTAAATTTCATCGCCGCATCGCGCATACGCCGCGTGTTACGCGCTTGGTCACTTGTCTTATTAACTAATTGATATGGGCATAATATTTTATTGGCCAACTGGAGAATGTCGATTCAAATGAGCATCAATTGTTAAACTAAGCGAAGTCAATAAACATCAAAAGGGGGAGGAATGGGGAGCCAATTATGTAAGCACGATTCTAACATATCTTGGCCATATGTGTGTTTGGTTCGGTAACGTTTTTGTGAAATGTCTGGTCGCTGTCAGATATTCGCACATTAATCATCCGCCCACGTAGCCATTTAGTGTGAATTCTGTCGGCTCCCATCGGACCTAATTGGCCAAACACATAAACCAGCCAGAAATTCCCCCATTTGGTTCCTGGTTGGAGGCACTCACACGGAGCTAAAGACTAAAAACTAACTAGTACGCGCTGTTATTGACTTACAATCGTCGCTGATTACCAGATACAGATATAGATACAGTATCTCTGTCCTCACCTGTGGCTACATCAAAGGTTGCAGCATCACGACGGCGATGACGACTGAGCCCGACTGAGCGGCAATTGAGCCAAAGCACTCGGACTCGTCTCGGTGGCTGACTCAAAACTTCGGCATCTACTGAGCGAGCGCGCCGACTTAGCCAACTTAGACAACTTAGCCAACTTAGGGGCTGCTCTGGGCCAGCCAGGCCGGTATAAATGCGCCAAGGGAGAACATTTGGGCATCATTCGATTTCTGATTTTGCAACGAAGACGTCGCATTCGGCATCGGCTAAAAAGCCACCTGGAAAAGCAATCTCGTGTGCGGTTCGTCTGCGAAACCGGTAATAGTTCAATCCGCTGTGCTGTGTTGTGCTTAGGAAAACTCGGAAAAACCGCGCTCATTTAGCAACTAGCAGAAATGGTGAGTTCGTTGGCAGTCGGCAAATGCCTCCGGTTTCATTTGTGTTGTTTTCCAGCGTTGTTTCCTGCCTTTGGTGGCTCTGCTCTTGGCAGCAGCCGTCCACGCTGATGTCTCCCACCTGGACACGGATCTCCAGGAGGATGGCTATCATTACAAGCAGCCATCGGTGCCTTTTCCGCCTCCGGGCTCTGGAAATGGTATTGAGGATTCGGGCATAGGATCAGGACCTGCTCCTTCGGCTCCAGCTCCTTCTTATGGACCCCCACAGACCCAGCCACCTCGTCCACCACCGCAACCAACACCCACGGCTCCTGCTCCGTCTCCATCTTACGGACCACCGCAGACTCAACCTCCACGTCCACCACCGCAACCCACTCCCTCGGCTCCCGCTCCGTCTCCATCTTATGGACCTCCCCAGACGCAGCCACCTCGTCCTCCACCACAGCCAACTCCCTCCGCCCCAGCTCCATCGTACAGACCCCCACAACCGCAGCCACCGGCACCACAGCCACCATCTCCACAACCTGGACCAGAGTATTTGCCTCCAGATCAGCCCAAGCCACGTCCCACTCCAGCGCGTCCTCAGCCGCCTCCACCACCACCACCATCTAGGCCACAGCCAACTCCTGGATACGCTCCACCGCCTCCAGCGCCATCAAGGCCACAGCCAACTCCAGGATATGCACCACCTCCTCCAGCTCCACCAAGGCCGCAACCCACTCCAGGATACGGACCACCACCGCCCGCTCCTCCAGCTCCACAGCCACCAAGGCCTCAACCACCTCGCCCACAACCACCCAGTCCTCAGCCGCCACGTCCAAAACCAGGATCTGAGTACCTGCCTCCTCCTGGAGAGAATGAAGTGACTCCTACTCAACCACAGCCAACTGCTCCTGTGCCGGAATACGGACCTCCACCATCACCGCCTGCACCTCCAGCTGGACCCACTTACCAACCACGTCCACCTGCACCACCAGCACCTGCTCCAGGACCCACTTACCAGCCACGTCCTCCAGCACCACCAGCACCTGCACCAGGACCAACTTACCAGCCACGCCCACAGAGTCCTCCGTCACCACCTGCACCCACCTACCAGCCACAACCCCCTGCACCCCCAGCACCTGCACCAGGACCCACCTATCAACCCCGTCCCCCAGCACCACCAGCACCCACCCAGGAATACGGACCACCACCTACCAGTGGCGGCGATGAGGCGGGCTCCCTGGGACCCGATGGCTACAACTACAACAAGCCTGCCAAGCCCTTTACCTTCTAGAAAAGTACTCAAAACCACTGTCCTGTGAGCCACCATTGGACCCACAAAAACCCCTGCCACTCGAATATTTTTCCAAATAAAAAAACAAATCTCAAAAGCCAAAGTCAAAGCTGGATATGTCAATCATTCGGGGGATTCGCTGGTGGGTCAATGTCTCAGCTTTAAAAACGACCTTCTGGGGCGTCACTTTTGACAGCATTTACATGGTGAAAAATTATCATAATTTTTGGTTGTGTAATCAAAATATAAATATTGGTTTTATAAATTCATTTTTAAAAGAACAGGACCAGGAAATTTGTTTTTAGGGATAAAAATTGAACTTTTAATTAGTTTTACTCAAATAATGCTCTCCCAATTTTATTACAGTGCAGGCAGATGGCCAAGACAAAATACCAGCGGTTCAAGTGCAGTCCCCAGACACCACCCAGTGGTCCATGGTGGCCTGTTGGCCGTTGGTCAGTTGTTAGGTCAAATCAATCAAATCTGGGGGCGCCATAAATCAGAGGCGGAAATTCCGAGACCGCCAAGCAGCCGTGAACGTTCTCAGGCCGGCGATGTTTGTAATATCTATAAACCCATAACGACCATATATATATATATATAGGTATATATCGATGAGAGCCCATAATGATTGCAACTGGCATAGCCACAGACATTGCATCCATACATGGGACACTCAAGGTGCCGGTGGAGCCAAAATAAATATGAGCGAGTCGATCGATGATCGGCAATCGACGACTCAATTCCCACCGGCTGTCGTCAGTCGCTTAGTCATTCGCCAGGTTCATCAGTCATTTAGACAATATGCCAGTTGGTTTAGTCAATAAATTGAGTTAGCCGTGGCAACTTCATTAGGTTGCCCAAAAATAAAGATAAACAAGAAAAAACTGCAACTGCAACTGCAACTGCAAGTGCGGTTGTGCAACGATTTTCCAATAGGGTTTTTTTTTCGTCAAGGGGCTGGTGCAGAGGGGGTACTTTGCCACTAATTACATAAGCACATACAAAACGGCCTTCAATTTCGCTGGACACGGGCGCCCTAAGCCTCACTCACAGCTCGATCTGAGCCATTTGATTAACGTCTTAACGAGCGGCTTGGGTGTGATTTATGTTGTCAGGCATCAGGCATCAGATCTGCAGCTGCACTTAGTCTTAGACTTTTTGCGTGATTTATGATTACAGCATGGCACTTGAAAAGATTGGGCATGACAAGAGATTCGCCACGCATTGTTTGCCTTGCTTTGATAATTATGCGATGGAAATTACAGCAATACAAATGAGAATACTAGGCCCAAAAAAAATAAGTTCAAGCTACTCACCAGCTGACCCTAGCTAATTTCTGCCACTTCGATGACGATTCTAATTCCCTCCGATGGGGTGTAAATCCGGGTGTAAATTTCCCAAACAAGTGATTAATATTCTACTGCTGCTGCTAACGAACACGCAAATGTAAATGCGAGTATATAAATATTAAATTCTAAATACGAAAGCGTCAGAAAAAAAATCGTATTTTTACCCGAGGGCGAAATTCTCAACGGCTGGTGTCTTCATCGTTGTTAATCTCTCAAATTTCCAATTAATTCTTCAAAAATTATTCCGACAGGGGCTAATCGAAAATATTAATGGACATATTATAATTATGACTTAATGGACATACAATAAAGTCATCAGCTGATTAATGCCGGCTGCCAAAGCGGTCAGAGAGTCAGAAAAACAACATCTGTTCTTGCAGCGTCAAGAAATATTGCGCATACGCAACGTGCGCCACATTGCGTTGCGTTGCGTTACGTTAGACCCCTTTGTAAATCAATCACAGCGCAGGCGAAATTGCCCTTGGCATAGTTTCCGCTTAGTTTTTTCTATTCTTCACTCGATTTCATCTTTGTGCTGTCTTGGCTCATAACTGTTCAATTGTAAAACGGCAACGCACTCAAACGTTTTCAAACATTGCGTACGATGATTTGTGTAGACGGCGCCGGCCAAGAAATATGAATCAAGCCATGAGCGATGCTCGAGTGGATCAGCGGGCACAACAAAAAACCAGCTATGAAAATCACTCACGCATGAAACCAGCTCTCAGTTAGCAGAATGAGGAATTATGTTTCAGCACAAAGTTAGGCTTGGAAAGTCTTTAAAAAAGTAACTTAAGTAAAGCTTAGTTTTTATTTAGATGTATAGCCTACTTTTCATAAGATTACTATTGAAAGTTTAAGCTTAGTTAAAGCTTAACTTAGTTACAGACCACTGGCTAGCTTTTTCCCCTGCTTTATTATAAGCTTTTTATTGGTGCTTAAACAGATTAAATCGTTTATACTTATTTCGTCAGCTAATTAAAAGCATAAATGGCTGTTAAATAATTATTAAAAGACACTTTTATTTGAGGGACTTTGTAAAGGCTGCTTAATTGCTTTAAATTATGAGTCAGTCATATATTTAAATTCGACCCACAATAAATTCTTTAAATAGTTAATAAGTCAATTTAAATAAAAATGACTCTTTTCCTCTCTTTTGCTCTTTTTCTATTTTTAAAATCCTATTTATAGTTGCTCACAATTCGTTTTCAGCCTTAAAACTTAATTGCCTTAATGACTTATATTTTAAACACTCTAGAGCGTGAGCTGTGTCTTGCCTTAGGGCTCATTTTTGATTATTTAATTCCTTTAGCTATTCCGAAATCGATATTAACCCCAAACCTCGATTACCTCAATGTCTTTAGTATTTTTAAAATTATTTGCTATTTTCGAGATCGATTTAAATATCTGCAATCAGCATACTCGTACGAGTCGATTAGAAATTGATGTCTCAATTTATGGCTGAGCAAGCGAAATTCCTAATAATCCATTTGTTACTACAACTTCCTCATCCAATTGACCGATATTACCCCTTTGCCCATCCCCCAACTTAGAAACCCCGGACTCACGCCTCTAGTCGCATGCTTGTATCGCATTAAACGTAAATTAATCAATTGCTAATAGATGTTTAACAACTGTTAACCTTCCCGGCGAGCATTAAAGTGGTTGCGAATTAATCACAACTCTCAGAGACAGCGGCGATTTATGATTAAACGCTGCGATTCTTGAGCGTGAACAAAATCGTTTAGCAGTCGAAAATTGGCAATTATTCGCTTGGCCGTTCCCGAAACAGTCAGTCAATGGGCTCGTGGCCAACAGAAAAAATTAAGAAAAAATACAAAAATGGATTGGCTTAGCCTTTGTTAAGGATGATTGCCTGTGTAAGTTTGAAAGACTTGTGAGATTTCGTGCGATTTAGCTGTGGGCGCCAGTGATTAGCATAATACCAAGGCATCGGCAACACATTTTGTCCGCTCTATTAAATTTTAATTATGAAACGAACAAAACGCCAACATTAATCAAAAGATGCAGAAAAAAGAGCGACAAACTCGATGCGGTCTAGATCGATCAGATATGAAAATTCATTCATTCCGATGGCGAGACTTAAGCCCCAGAGGGCGGCTTTGTCACGCAAATTTCGTTAATGCCGCTTCTGAATGTTCGACAACAAGCAAACAAATCAAAAAAAAAAAAAAAAATAGACTTGGCCAGCGTGAAGCAATTAACGGCGAAAATATAGTCTGGGCCATCTAGCCACATGTGGGTCGTTGTCTTGAGCACTGACAGCACTTGTCAAACCAATCCATAATGGATGTCAAAACAGCAGCATCAGTCGCCACAATAGATCTCCAAAAAGCTGGCTAAGAAATGCAAATGCAGAGTCAACAAAAGAAAAAAAAGTTTAAAATCCGAATCCGATTGAAAAGGCAACACGACGCATAGCAGTTAATCCAATGTTTACAATCTCTTTACAAATTTCAACCTTGGCCTTCCTTACACACACAAAGCGCAGCAAACGGCATCCGAATCGAAACAATGTCATAGCAGTTAGTCAAATCATCGGATACACAAGACCCATGCAAATTTCATTCGGGTTTTGTATCTGACAGATGGCCAGATGATCCGTTGACTCACAATGGCTAAATCCCAGAATCTTACAAAACTTGGCAGACAGATCGGCGGGCCAAAGAAGAACCTTCATCATCATCGCCATTTGCCACATGGAGATAATCATGGTGATAAACATTCGCCAGAGTAAAGAAGAATAAAAAAGAACCCAAAAAACGGGTTCCTCTAATGGCGATTAAGCATCGTCGGACTCTCAAATGCGACCATAATAATCAGCATTTGCATTTGTGCAAATTGGTTAGAATGGCTTATACTTATAGTTATAAACATTTAAATCGATCGCCTCTCTTTGGGGTTTTTTTTGGTCTTTCAGAGGAGCCAGAACAGGTTGCTCAGCTTTATGTCAGGGTGGGTTTGTCACCGAACTAGATCAGCATGAATGAAATCAATCTGATTGATCGCTTCGAACTATCCCATTAGCCATATAAGCTTAATGCCGGTTTTATTGGGGCAATCACTCAGATCTCAAGTTCATTGTCAGTCGATTACAGCATTTTTGCAGAGTATTATTGGGTATGTCGATTGGGGAAGTGTTTGCCTCTCCATATACGGCTGCTTTATATTCTTTTTGGTTATCTGGATTGCTTTATATTCGCTCTACTAATGAGTAGTCGAATCTGACCTCAATTCTTGAGTTATAACCAACCAGTTTCGAATGCAGGCCAAATTCTATGCGATTAGCATGAAAGTCTTCATATTTGTTTAAATTAAAAAATGGATAGAGTTTAATGAGTCATGCAAAGCGTAAAATGATTTGTTGAATTACAAATTTCTGCCATATTATATTTTTGTTTATACTTTACAAATATGTACTTTGTTAACTATGTATGCAATGCATAAATCTCCTTGATCCTTCACAAATTTTTTCAATTTTAACATCGTCTCGAGGAGGACGTGTTGGACGCGGTGTGGTCGTTCTTGGCGGTATATTAGCACTACTTAGACCCAATGCCAGGATGAGGCAGACAAAGAAAAACAAAAGTTTGGCCATTCTAAAGTTGCTTTTCCGTTTAAGCTGAAGTGAAGACGTTCACCCTTTCCAATTTGCACAGACTAATACATTTCTACACCTTTTCTATCGGCCTATATAGTAAAAGTTGTGCTCGAAGATGATCGAATAATA